CAAGCAAGCACTGCTGATACAAAAATAAAACGGTGAGTTCTATCACTTTTTTAGCATGAAAAAGCGCATGAGAGTATTGGGTTACTCTATGCTTTTCACTTCAATCCATTGAATGCTTTCCGGGATGCTAGATTCATAGGTAGTTGTGACCGGGGACAACATTTTTAGGGTTTTTACTTTTAATCTAGAAGTGAGAATAAAGCAACTTTAGGCACCTAGTATTTTGCTTTACTCTCCTAAGGTCGATGGTGATGGCGCACTGCGTGTCACCTATCAGCAAGCTCAGCCTATCAATCGAGCAACTTGGGGTGGCAAAATCGAGTTCGTCCTTTCCTGTATCAGCTATGCCGTGGGACTGGGGAATGTCTGGCGGTTTCCCTATCTCTGCCACAAGAACGGTGGTGGTAAGTGCTCTCTCTTTTGGATAATGGATCGTCTTTACTATTTTAGCTTTAAAATTTAAATTCATTTATTTTTTATTCTTACTTATTTATTTTTATTTTTTTATTTATTTTTTGAATTTAAATTTAGGCAATAGTCGGCGATGAATGTGGGTCGATATTTAAACTAGTAATCACGTCTATGAACACATTTCCTAAATCAAATACCTTCTCCACTGTGACCAGACATGTTTGAGCAGGTCTTCGTCTAATCTTGACCTTAAAATTAACCTAGTAGGGTACGTGAGTAGCGCGAAAGGGCGCTGAAGTCTGTCGTATTGTTGGTTTATATGTCCTTACCCTTTTTAGGTGCTTTTCTGATACCTTATGTGGTGATGTTGGCTCTTGTGGGTCTACCCCTCTTTTTCCTCGAATTCGCTTTTGGACAATTCGCCAGTTTGGGTCCCATCTCCATATGGAACGTCAGTCCTCTCTTCAAAGGTTAGATCTGCGATCCATCATGCCCATAAGTCACTTTAGCTGCTTTTGTAATATACAAACTTGCTCAAAGTAGCCTCCAAAATCCTAGAAATGTTTTTGTCTAGGACTCGTGTCACGAGTGTAAATTTGGCACCCTTTGGTGGTTCCTTGCCATTACAAGGTGCAGGAGTCTAAGAGTAGTTTTGGTATGGGCGCATATCTGTACTGAGAAATTAGTCTCACAGTTGATACTACCAGGGCCCCATTCACCAGCCTTGTAACCTAATCACGCACAGTCAAATATGCTCTTGAACCATTACCGTCCATCTGCATATGTATTCTGTTAAAATGCATTGTTTTTTTTTGTCAGTTGTTTATGTGCTTATACATTTACATTGCAATCAAAACAGGTTGTCATATCCTATTATCACGTGCTAAGTACTTGGATAGGTGGGTGTTCTTCCACGAGGATTCCCTTTCACTACACGTAGTTTTCTTGAAAGGTTCCCATGTGACTGCTTGAATAACTAATAAATTATCAACTTACTACCTAGCGCATTGGGATGCCATTCTGGTTGAAACAGCTTTCCTTTGACATTTAATCTCGATGTAATTCGGTCCTCATTAAACCAATACCTGTGCTATCAGGTGTTTAGTTGGACCTTGGGAATGCGAATGGTTGATATGTTTTGATATACATTAATCAACTGGAAAGAGCAGTCACAGTCCCATCTCATATGCTGCAATTTCGTTTGATTAATCCGCTTTCAACTGTGAAGTTGCTGCTGGAATAAAAGAGTGAATCCAACGACAAAATCTTCCGACTTCCAAAGTACATGAGTACAGAGGAATTTAGTCAGAGGCTTCTGCATATTTTCTCAAGATGTACCAGAAGGGAATAAACTATGTGTGCACCACCATGGTTTAGGGTGAAACAATTGGATTGCTCTTTGGCCGCCAACTACAGTTGATATGTTGTGTAGATCATACATTGAATTTTTTGGTATTCTTACTACAAATCTATTTAACGAAATTCTAATATGTTCGTACTGGATTCGGTCTAGCTTTATCTAACCATGCGATCCCCCTTGCATAGGCTTTGTGATTAGCTAGTTTGGTGAATGATAAAGGGAGTCGAATGTTCTGATTTTGTTGCATTCCGGACATGTGGGAATTTAATATAATTTTAACCAGCTGATTTTGTTAATAAATTCAATCAAAGTATCCACTGGTCAAAAATTACGCATATGCAATGTCCTCTTGAACAGGAAGTGAGAGGTTGAGTGTACTTGAGCTTGTATTGCACTGCAGGCACTGGCTATGCAATGGTGGCGGGCTCGTGGTTACTCTCCCTCTATTACAACGTGATTGTGGCGGAGAGTCTGCTCTACTTCTTCTACAGCTTCAATAGTGTGCTCCCTTGGACGTACTGTAACAATACGTGGAATGCCAACACCACTTGCATTGACTTCACACGCAATCTCACCGAACTCCTCAGTAAGTTCACTTTCCAAAGCACTAGAAGTTACCCCACGTCCGCCTCTCAGTCGTGACTTATCCCCCTTCCTTTCTCCCCTACCAGTCAGCTCGACTGCGCGGATCACTGAAATCTCGTGGCTACCATGACTGCGTCAGTTATCCCCTTCAATAACGCCAACAATGCGGCAGATACCCACTCTTACAGAAGACTAAATAAATATTATGGTGGGGAGCTAGAGACCATAATATCAGCATAACACTAAGCGTAATTTGAGAACGGTTAATAGTATGCATATCAAATCAACCCGTCAGTGACATTTCGTTAGGAGAATACACGACCTAGAGAGGGATACGGCAAAGTAGTGTTTTAAGTATGCGCTAGTCGATGAATCAGGTGAATTTATCGGCGGAGTTTGTCCCTTCATCCTAACTAGGCGTGATTCACTCGCATTTAGTCATACCTGTTTTTCCTCGCTGGGTTTTAGATTCGAACATTCCCTCCAACATAACGTTCACTTCTCCTGCTGAGGACTTTTACTAGTGAGTTTTACTGTTCCATTTTGATCTTAGATGTTAGAAATGCTCAACGCCACGTATACTCCATTCGAAACAAATAGTTTAAAATCCGGGGATAGGAATGGTACCGACGATACCAAATACCCCAAATGCTATGAACTTTGGACAATGGGTTCAAGAGTAAAGGGAAGTAAAGCTCAACTTCAGGAGGTAGATAGTGGAAAGGAAACTCCCTTACAATAAAGTCCCAGTTTTTAGAGAACAGGAAACCAGTTAGATTTTCACCTCACTTTTTGAAAATAACTCATTTTTTCCCATGCCTCGATCGTACATGATCAGGACTTCATGGAAGTTTGCCTTGTTTATTACTTATTTGCTTTGCTGATAAAACGGGTAAACAAATGTTCCTCTATGTCATGGGTATTTTTGACAATCACTATGCTCGTAAAATAAGGCAGGGTTAAAGTTACGTGTGTCTGATAGTCTCACATCTACAACAACAGGCTCAATTGCGCAGTTTAGTTGCCTTAGATGGGCCAGCAACATCCACGCTTAATGAGCTCCTTGTGCCTACCGTCTCTGCCCGTTTCTGATGTTCTCGAATTGTGAAAGCCATCCAACTGACTTAATCGGAAAGAAATTGCACTTCGCATACTGTGTCATGCATGATGATTTTTATGACTCTTGCTATAAGGATGGAATACAGTCCATACGTGAACCCTATACCAAAATAAGTTCCGAACGCTTGGATGCCTTACTTCGAGAAAGCTCTAGTAATTGGCAATAAAACATTTGGTTAAATCCTGACTCTCATATATCAAGCAGGATGTGAATAAAAGTGGTGATTTACGATTTCTCTTGTGTTACTCGTGGGAGCAATGAGACAATAACATAAAAAAACTATGCGCCTTAATGTAAACTTTTATAAACTCCTATGTACAAAAAGGTAAGCTTTTCAATTTTTCCAATTATCTCATGCAACAGTTTATGCATTTACCCACTTCGGACTGCTTTCCGCCATTTGTAGCATTGAAACGATTTGAAGCCTCCAGTGCGCGCCCAAGTGTAACGGTTCAAAATATTTGAAAGTGTGTTCTTTCTTGTCACATAGACATTCCATCGTACACTACAGAATGGCGTCAATTAGAATAATTTTATGCAATTTAATACAAGGGATGAGTCTTTACTGCTGCATAAATCCGGTATGAAATTCCAAGTACAAGTCTCAATTCAACACACCCACTCTGTTTCTTATGGAATGCCTTCTTTAAATGTTCAAGCTATCACTTCAATTCCGTGGCGCGCTCTAAAAGGAAATACGAACCCCATGGTTTATATCCCAGTATAATTATTAGTTGTATAGCTTTGTTTCCAAAGATATACCTCGGTCTATATCGCCTTATTTCTAACCACGGAAGAAGGGGTAAGAAGTGAGTGTTACATTGCTGCTTTTCACTTCATACACTAAGCGTGCAGGCAGGTATACTTGAGCTGTGTAATCCGCATATGTCGCTGCGTCAGAAAGTCACTCCATGTTAAAGAAGATACTCTTTGTCTATTCGCCCATACCCTTAGCAACGCGTTTGTTCAAGGGTTCAAGAAGTTTAGTCTTCTGTGTCAACGTGATATCCACCAACATGATGTTTATGAAGGCCCCACAGTTTGTCAAGCTACTAATTATGCGCATATTTAGCACTATTTGGCCTTGTTTTTAAATAACGCAAGTGTTCTGCGGGCAGTTTTCCAATGGAACCATGGCTTCAAAAGTTATTGAAACTACATAACGTTCTGCACCCGCAGGAATCGCGAAAAGCTGACTCCTAAGTGGATTATAGAGTCGCAAACGAATGCACAGGATCGGAACATTTCATTTAATGCACAGTATTTCATATATTTTGGAAAATAAATTGTTCTTACCATTTCTCATGATGATTGAGTAAATAATACAGTTTGTATTGTTCAACACGTTTACATAAAATGAGTGTGGAATCAGCTTCCCTAGGCTACGGTTTACGGTAGAGAGTAACTGGATTTGTGAGGGTCTATTTTTAGATCATCAACTGATTTTGCCTATTCGCGCTGCAGCTGCAACATGCATACCCACGCGGACAAGCAAACACTTGACAAGTTCTTAAACCCACTACCCACCTATTTTTTTCCAGCAATCATATACTGCAGAAGTCAAGTGGCCTCGAGGATATGGGTTTGCCCTCGTGGCAGTTGTCACCGGTGCTGCTTCTTGCTTGGATCATCACTGCGCTGGTCCTCATCAAGGGCGTTCAGTCCCTTGGCAAGGTAATGCTTCTAATCCTTACTTCTCACCTCTTCTTGGTCACTAGGTTTCAAAATCCCTAATGTAAGAGCTAGTCTCATTATTACCCAAATCCACGATTCTGCAGGCGGTTAAGTCAAGCTTAAGCGTTCTCTCCTGGTTACAATGGAATTATTTTTACATTCTGATTTTATTTCATAATGACGGTTCAAACAAAGTCATACCCCTTACCGATGTAATAGGCGTTTTACTTGCTATTTAGTCAAAAACTCGGTATCCAACGTGGAATCCCTTTTTGAGCAGCATCAGTTCTTAATAAAATATTTCCCACAGGCATTTGAGTCGTAGAATCCCATCAACAGGTGTGGGTTCCCAAATTCATTAAAATTTGTGCATTACATTCACGCTGTTTTATTCCCAAAAACCCCAGATTTTAATACAATGCAATGATCCCTTAGATTAATTTAAGTATGCTACGAAATTGGAATTACTTAAGCTCATAGCCGGCTGTTCTAGCTTACTTTACTCATAAAGGAACTTATTCACAATAAGGTAGAGTAAGACATTAGCTAAAATAGCACGATAGTAGAATGATTTGTCGAATTCGACAAACTTATGCCACAGGTTGCTTTTCAACTACGAATTTAGGTGTTTGTAGTGCACTTAGGTCTGATGGGAGGTAAGCTTTTTATCGTACGCAAGTGGCATTTTCCCTACATGCCACATTTGTACATCGTTCGCTCCAATGGTTGCCCCTTCTCAACTTAAAAGTAGTATTTTTGCTTCATATGTATTGACGACAGCATTTGAGAGTTTTTTCCCTTTGCAACACAGAGAAGTGCCGTCGTATAAGTAGTTCCCCATCCGGTAAATGCCATTAAAGTCGATCGAATTCGCCAACTCATACCTTCATCATAACTACAATCTTTAGATCTTGAGGCAAATAGCAGTAATAGCTTTTCATCTCTGATGACAAGATGACAATTCCTTACCCCAGAATGGTAACTCAGTCATGTGTCTCGGCAGTCGCTTCAAAGTTGAAAGATATCTTTTCTGGATTGCTACGGAGCTACTTTACAGGATTTCTACTGCATCCAAGGGAAGTGGATGTGTTTCAAAGCTGCCCTAAGTTAAACTGCCATTACCATGACAGCATTTTTCTCATTGTTGACTGCAGTAAGTTGCATTTAGCACTGACTGATCGATCATGTTGGGTTTATCTGACAGGTGAGTTTTGGCTGTTACAAGGTATTTATTTGGAGTAGATAATGCAGATAACGAGAACATTGGTTCTTGCTACCCAAGAAATCGTTTCTGAACGGCGCCTTCAAGCTACTTTAATACTAATCCCAATTGAAGTAGCTATGCCGGGAGGTTCGAAACTTTTAATCTCAGCAGTAGAGAAACCATACACATTTATTAGGGTTCTGAAACAACCCATCCAGAGCTGCAGCGATTGAAAGGCATCATATGAACGCCAGTTGTAACAAACTAAATGATATACTAGTATACTGGCATCTGCGAGAGTTTTTAAATAAGCCTTCCGTTTAAAAACTGCAGTCTCTCAGTCTTTGACTGCCGGCCATTCCGTTTTTCTTTAAAACAGTCTAGTCAAATATTTCCGGTGTTTTGTTGAGCATTCGGCTCAAAATAAAATAAACATCTTTGTCTTCTTTCACCAAACAATTGTGTCAAAATTATCTAGGTTATAAATGTCGCCGATGACAATGGATTTGAATTGTTCCCCTTGTCATTCGAAAAGGAGTAAAATACGACTAATATTTTTAATGTCTGAGAAAGTGTGTTTATGATTTCTTAATTTAGACCGAACTGGGGGAATCAGAGACGTGAAATGTGCTAATTCAGTGATATTTCCATTGAAAAATCAGTTGTTAGTACATCGTGGTGCTCCCTTGCGCACAATCTCGGATGTGAACTTACCTTTTCCCATTTTTCCCGAAAGGTTTCCTACTTCACAGCCCTGTTCCCCTACCTGATCCTCTCAGTGCTGTTGATCCGATCACTGATGATGGAGGGCTCTCTGCAGGGCATTCTCTACTACCTGACACCCAAGTTCGATCGCCTTAAGGACCCACGAGTGTGGGTGGATGCCGCAACGCAAATCTTCTTTTCCCTCGGCTGCTGTTCTGGGTCTCTCATTGCCATGTCCAGCTTCAATCCTTTTAAGAACAACTGCTGTAGGTTAGTGCATGCGAAATTAATATCTCCCTCAGCCACTCTCATATGCCTCCCTTTTACACTTTTTTATGTAAGGATCAAGGCCACACTGTTATCCAGTTGTGCACTTGGGCGAGAGGCACCAGTAGCCCTAGTGAGATAGACTGCCTTGGTCGCAACACCCTCTGCTTCCAACACCGTTCATGCTTCTTATGGGCACTTAGTGACTAAAGGGATTAAAGGGTTTTTATTTTCAAAAAAATTAACGCAGGGTTAGCCAAACTCAGGTGGGTGTTGTGTTGTGACAAATGGAGAAGTATTAGGGAAATTATTTTCTTAGTTTCAACATCAAACTAGCCGTAATTTCACATGCTTACATGAGGTCCTTAAATGATAGCATCATGTTATTTTTATCTAAAATGCATCGCCTGATAAATGTCTCTGGAGTGAACGATGATTAGATGTATGCTGTTTTAGAAAATCCACTGTTCCTTGACAGTACCTTAAAATGCCCTTTTTCTCAGCAAAATGTTTAATTTGTGTACAATCCATGCGCCATTTCCGTTTGAAATCGGCCTATTTTTGCACGCAGCCTCCTCTATTACCTAAAAATCGGTCAAGGATGCACTTGTGCAGTTGAAAGGTTCCGTTGCTTGTACACTTTGTGGGCTGATTTGAAAAAGTATTCAGGAAATTTCAATTTATCGAAGCACCCTTGAGTAGAAAGTCGAGCCGTAAGTATCTATTATAATTTCGGTCAGCCTTTCTATCACCACAGTCCTTTCCGTAAACCGGTATTATGCCTCCTGTTACATAACCACCGCGAAGTTTGCTCTTTCTCTTTGATATTGACACGCTGGCTACTAGTACTGCGCGTCTGTGCCGCCCCAAATTTCTTATCCGGGCTATATGTCATTTTTTGATTAAGGAGTAATCACATCTTTTCTTTGAGCGGTAGTTGAAGTGGTCGAAAAATTAATGCCTTTTAGTGTCACATTGGAACAACAAAGCAGCTGGATAGCGATGGTCGATTCGCCTCAGACCTTGATAACTAGCACTTTAACACGATTTTCTTCACGACTTTGCCACGGATTTATTTCAAAAGATGACCCATATCGCGAAATCTAGGGTGCGATAATAATGGTTGAGGAAGATATTTCCATTGACTAGCTGTGTCGATACTTTCAAGGATTTATCTATCAACGGATCATGTTGGATGTGCAAAATATTTAGGATTAAAGAGAAGTGCTTTCATAAAATTTAATTGTTTGGGGAGGAAACTATTTTGAAGAAATACTTGCTCCCTAACTAGTTTAGTATTCCCATTCTCGTAGATCTTACCTAAGATCCACGTTAAAAAAGGATTTCAAGGTTATTATTAATGAATGCGGATTTCCTCTGACTGTAGAGTTCGTTTCGGTTCACGGCAGTTTCGAGGTGATACAGTGATACACTACTTTAATAACTTACAATTGGGATAGGCGTGATAATGCTAGAGTCAGAAATGGTCCTAAAAATCGACATTCGGTGTCGCAATAAACTGAAATCTTGTGTCTTGATAGACACGTGTTCTGTAAGGCATACACACGAGGTAGTTGAGTTAGCCTATGTTTTGTTTGCTGCCCTATGCTAAACCTTTCTCCCTCTGCTTCAGAGACGCCATTATTGTGGCCTGCATTAACTGCTGTACCTCCATATACGCCGGTTTCGTGGTGTTTGCGAGTCTTGGCTTCATGGCGCACCAAAAGAACGTAACCATGGACAATGTCGCCAAGTCGGGTGAGTGTTCCACTTCTTTCGCCATTGGTCAGCCTGACCTTGGGACTACGCCATTTCGACCAATCCTGGCGGTCTATACATTTTTCTTCGAATTAGCTTTACTTCATAGCACCGTTACTGATGTTAATTGTGACGGGTTTTAATGTATTATGAGCAGTACTACCACATTTTACCACCACCATATAAACCTGTTTGCATTCGCTTTGAGACCACATTGAATCCTCTTCATTCACGTAACAGCGGTACTATCTCGTGGGAAAGCTAAATTGTCCTATAGAATTCGATGAAATGCATACTTCTAGCTATGACAGTTGATAAGCATCGACTGAATGGTATTAGTGACAAATAGAAAGGCAGACGCAGAATATCAAGACTATAAAAGTGGTGTGTAGTTTTTAAGAGAGCACCCAAAACTCATGAACACAAGATTTCTGTAATTCAGGAGGGTTGAATGGTTGTGATTTTTTAATCCCAGGCAACTTTATATCATTCACATATGATGATTCTAAATACAGTCTTCCACGACACGAATCACAGCTTATTTCCAAGTATATGCTAGAATTCTAGTCCTGAAGAGAGCTGCTATTTTTTCTTTCATACGATTGCTAATTTGACGGTTGCATTAGATTTTAAACCAAAATCAACAACTCAGTTATTGTGATGACCTTTGGGCTGTTTAAAGGGCCGGGCCTGGCCTTCGTGGTATATCCAGAGGCGTTGTCACAGATGCCCTTTCCCGCCATCTGGTCCGTCTTCTTCTTCTTCATGCTCTCTACCGTTGGCTTGGGCTCCCAGTTCGCCATTGTTGAGACTGTCATGTCTGGCGTTGAGGACGAGCTCCGACGTTTTAACCTTCTCACCAGCAACTGCCTTAAGTATATCTTTCGGTATGCCTTTTTCTTCTACCCATACACTTTTGTTTGAACGAGTGTTGCTTCCTCGAAACCTCTAAAATCCTCCATTTGTTAATATTGTCATATATCGGTCAGCCATCATGTTTCAGCATCACAAATGGAGTGTTTAGCTTAATTACGGTATGTGACTGCTGCGTTTTCATTTCAAAAACAACAAAGTTTTTCTTTACATCGGTGGACCTTTCATTCACAGACATGCAACGTTTCACTTTCGAAATGCGCTCAAGCATGTGTACACGCATGCTTCTGTTGACCGGATTCCAGCAATCCGAACTCTCTCGCATCGTTCACTTGCACGTTTTTTTTTGCGTGACTTTTTCTACCCCAGTGTCCCTACGTGCTATGCGCAACTAACTGTTGACTAACTCGCAGTTGCATATTGGCGTGGACACGAAGCTCCCGGCCTGCTGCTCCACTTCTTACTCCTCTCCTGCGACGTGATTAATATATTAGTCGTCTTTTAATTCTTTTTTTCTGGATCACTTAGAGTTGTATATCGGGTATCCGTCAGGGATATCAGCAGCTAGACTGATGGTTAACGATACAATGCACGCCTTATCGAAGTGTTTTCTCCTACAAATATGGGAATAAAGTAACCCGGTAGATCCACCACTGGGTATTTGCCTGACAGATTTATAAACAATACGGGCATCCTCAGAAAAAAGCTCTGGGGTGGCGGAACTAGAATGGTATGTATTAATTCGGTATTCCATTAATTTTTCTATTCACTAAGAGGAATAACAGACAATCGGGTAGCGATCCATTCTCCTATTGACGTAAATGCATTTTCACAGGAATACGGTTTTGTTCAAACTTTTCCGTTTTCCATGAGAAAATAAGCTGACTTTTGACTCATCCATTATTCACGATTTAGTCTGTTCAAATGGAGATATCGTTGAAAGACCGTCGGACTCCATTTCTGAAGCTAATTTGAAACTAGTTTTGAAGTATTTGATGTAATTTTAAGCGATTACGCTGTTCAAGTGAACCTTCAGGCGCTGAATTTATACTCAGTAGCTTTTTTATAAACCGTTTATGTAAAAGGGACTCTTACACCGAATATTTCATGATACCTCTTGTACAAATTTTAACTACCAGTCTGGTGGATTCATCTTCAGCAGCGAATCAATAGATGAATTGGTCTTTTATTTAATTCAACAACCTGTTTGAACTCGATTTGTAGGCATTCAAAACATGAGAAATGCTCCACGAAGTTAGGGCAAACAGACCATCTAGCAGTGTCATTTGAACTGAAGGTGTTTATTCCTAGTCTCTACTCGTCAATAAGTGATGGGAGATTAAAGTGGAATGTAATCGCACCTACATCTGCCATCGTACGGTGCTGAACAAGCTGCACGAACTCCCTCTATAAATTCCCTACATTTTTTTCGCTTTCTAAAAATACGTATCTCGTCGGTTTGTCCAGTCACTACAATTGGTTTTTACGCAAGAACAAATGTCAGAAGTTTTGTAGAAGTTTTCGCTCCTTGTGTTTTTGGGACTTTATGTCTCAAAGGTGTTTATGTTGGCGTTGATACTTACTGTGGTATTTCACCGCCAACTCTTCAAATTCCAAGGCTTTAAGAGCGATTTTCATTTTTCATTCCTGAGACCGCTTTTGAAGCGAATTCTGAGGTAAGAAATGGTCCCTTTTCCAAAAGAATCATTTAGTCTTCCGTATTCTTTGTTCTGAACTCCCACATGTGACAGACTGGCCAATTGAGATGACAGATCACGTCCATCCTCTGTCAGTAATGCATTCAGCGAGAACTGGTAGTAGTGGTTTCATTCACGTGATAATTTTTTTATGACTTCGTAATAATCATTTACCGGCGGTACCCGCGCCCCGACGTAGGGTATCTATTCTGAGTCAGCCAAGTAAATGCACACACCACAGGCTCGATTGGCATTCGAATAGAGTCGCGTTAATTCATGGATTAAGCGGTTCGACTCATCCGGGTAGAAAGAGAGAGAGAGAGAGAAACAGAGCAGCCTGGGCGGTGGTCCATCAGTCCGTACCGTAGCCACTGACCCTAATTCCTCCCGCGGACGCATAATATGGCGACGGAGCAGAAGAGTACAAGGTCTACTCCAAGTTGCACCATTCTAAAGAAACGAAGTTCCTGTGATGCTCTTTTTTCTACGGGCCTCCAAGGGGGGTTGGGCTGATTTATGCACCAGCACTCCCCATAGGTGCACATTCTAAGCTCATTTTTCACATATTTTACGTGCTCACAAAACTACACATCCAAACGTGTGATAAATTTGAGAGTTTTAGGTCTTTTTCAGTATTTTTCAAATTGAATCTGACGATTAGCCATATATGCAGATGAGTTAAGATGAACAAGTGGTCGCATTTCGTAAACTAGTTCAGCACTGCTCACCGTCTCCCTTTTTTTAATCCTACAGAATTGGTCTCTGCACGGTGAACTTCCTCCTAGGTCTGCCGATGGTCTGCAGAGGGGGGTACTACCTCCTCTTCCTCATTGATTGGGCCATGTCCGGCTACCCACTCATGTTCATCTGCGTCACCGAAATTATCATCATTTGCTACTCTTACGGTAAACAAATGAATTCATTATTGTTTTTGCATTCTATGATATTAGGCGGACAGGTAAAAGTGATAGGCGTTGCTGTCGAAAGACCCATGGAATATAAATCACCTTGTAGATTATATTGAAGGACATATTTCACTGAAGTAGAGTAGATCAGTACTTTAGGTAAACCCCTCGCTCAGTATTTGAGATTTTGTTTATTCAGATGATGGGAAAAGTTCGTGTTTCCATTTTAGCGTCCAAGTCCCCGGTGTATTACTTTAAAATGTGTACACTCCTAGGAATTTTAGGAGCGCTTTGGTTGTCAGCCTCTGAAAATAACTGAAAATTAGTTTATCAGCCCTACAGAGTAAGGTTGAATCTTGGGAACAATCGCGATCATTCTATTTCCTTTAAATTTCTTTATCCTAAACTTCAAATGTAGTTGATTGATAGTTTGAAATTACATTGTTACGTAGGTATGTGATTGCGAATTAACACAGCTTATTACGGCGTATATAAGGCCTAGGCATTAAGCACACCCGTCTTGTGCATTTTCCAAACTTTAGGCATGTGAAAGCCCCACTTCTTCCTTGATGGCAGGAAGTACTGCGACCGATGTAATAGTGATAAATAAAACAACTGACACATAGTTTTAGTCTTTGTAAGGTATCAGAGTGTCAAGGGTGTGATCCCTAATGCAGATTCGTGTTAGTATCGACAAATTTGATAGTATTAATAAGAGGGTAAGGCATAGAAACAAAAGAATTAAAAGCATCTTTCGACAACCAAAGGGTGTGTGAAACAGTTGAATATATGTACTTGTTGTTGGAAGGATTTGCTGAATCCGGATCTTCACCATCGTCTGAGGTGTGCTTTCACACCCACGACCGGTGTTTCACGGTGGACGCGGCGATTTGTTCGCAGGGCTCTGCTGAGTCATCGAAGCGCTTGCTAATCGGTGAATAGGCGCGCATGCAAAGCAAAGTGACTATGCGAATGTTGTCTTCGATCCACGTCGAATATTTAGTTTCCCTGTGGGAAATGAAGACAATTGTTACCAAAATATGCAATCCATTCTGAAACATCGGCTTCACGAAGATCGAATTACCAGTTAGGTCGTTCATAGAAGTGGTTCCCATACTTTAACATATCCAGTTGTCCAAGCTTCGGTAACAGTCCTCATTTGCGTCGTATAGTTAACGCTACTGAAAAAGTGACACCGTGGTTGGCATTGCTTCCGTGGTAAATGCGTTGAGTCGTGAATTGAAATGCGTTTCTTTCGGCACGTGTTTTGCTCATTCGGTGTTATTGCTATTCATTGTAATACTTTAGCAAATTTACCTTATCACTTTTAGTCTGCCTAAAATGTGAAGATGGGATAAAGTTCCGTGTAGCAAATGTATGCTATCCGGTGAAGATGGGGCACGTGGAGTTGTCTTAAATATTATCAGTAGTACAAAGATAATGCGTTGGACATGGAATGGTAGTTCAAAACTCCCTCGGGTTGTCAATGTTCCATCATTAGGGAGAGATATAATAATTTGTGGCTTTTGACACCCAAAATTGTTAGAGGAAGTACATTAAAATAGAATGTAATCGTTTATTTACCAGCAGAATCAGGCGGTAGTTGATTGCTACGGCATGTTGTTGAAAGTTCCACGATCTTGTGGAATTTTAATAAGACCAATCTTTTCATACTCACGGTGTGATCGCTACTACTACAGGATAATTTGTTAAGGAAAGACAGGAAGCACTTGAAACAGACCATGATCTTCTATATAAACTGACCCAAACGATTCATTCACGTCATTTACTACATATGGGTCTGATGTTTTTTGACTACACACTAGTGAGAAGTCTCCAAACAAGGCTTAAAAGGTTTCAAGGAAAGAAAACATGGAAAAGAGACTGTGCTGGGAGCAAAAGATGTTAGGTAGTACAAGTAATGTACATTGGTCTTGAGAACTTTTAATCACCTTTGTGCTTGAGGGTACGCAACGTCTATGCTTTAGAGCTACAATTTGATTTAATGCTTGTCGAAATAACAGTTTAGAATAAATCAGACAAGTGTTGTTACCCTCTGCAAAGGGTGTTATGATCCGATGTATTGAGAGACAGGAGTACATCAAGAGTCTTGATGTTATGTGTCGTATGTAGGCCTGAAGCAATTCCGGAAGGACATTGAGTTAATGATAAATGCTCGTCCCAATTGGTACTGGCGCATCTCCTGGCTCATCACCACACCGGGTATCACCATCGCCTTAATTGTATTCTCCATGGTGAGCACCGCAGAGCTGCAGCTGGACAACTACGTCTTTCCGCATTGGGCTCATTCGCTTGCCTATCTCACCGCCGCCTTTCCCATTCTCTGCATTCCTCTCTGGTTCTTCTACAAATACTGCCGTGAAGGGGGATGGATTGTACGTACCTACGTAAATTACTATCAGTAGCAAATATATTTTGCTACTGCCAGTTACAATTTATCCTTACGAAGGTCATTTTTTTAAATTAAATCCTTTAAAGCAAATTTAGGGTATCCGTGTATATCTCTCCCCAAGGCGTAGGCAAATCTAATGAATGTGAGAATCTGTCTAGAGCAACTTCATTTTTGTGGATCCAGAAATCCTTCAAATGTTCCAATTGGTTCTATTGATGTGTTGTAGTCAAGGGATAACGCCTGACCCCAGTGATGAGGGTTAGAAAAGATACTAGATTTGCCAGAACAGACACATTGGATAAAATATTAGCTTATACGGCCTCAAATAACCGAAAATGGCCATCTATGTGTCAGGATCTATAGTTAACCCACACGGTGGTGCCAAGCGTGATCAGCCATTGAGCAGAAACTAATCAAATAGGCGTTTGTGCGTGTGATCGTTATTGATCATCCAGTCATATATGATCCTATATTCGTCCTGAGCTGTGCCCATGGCCACTGCGTTGGCGCTGTTGTGCTACCATTTGGTCTGTGTATCTGCATTCCAACAAAGCGAGAACGTGTTCCATAAGAATGCCCAAATCCGATTTACTGCTTCTTGTAGATGCAAGTGAAATTACTTAAAGCATTTTCTTAAACTGAACACCTTAACAAGGCGTTGAAGCATTGCATAATGGCTTGTTTAGGAGTGTGTGGGAATGGGCTGTAAAAAATACGCTTTCAATAATCTGTTAGATCAGAATGCAAGTGCCGATTTGTAGTGGGGAAAACCACTCAGAATAAGTATATTTTGTCGGAAACGGGATGTTGAGGAAATTTCTGTTGACATCACCTCTGGAGCATGTCCTTCATTTACATTAAATGCTGTCGCTTTTATCCGAATCAAGTCGAAGATAAGCAACGCTGCGATAATTTTTAGGCCTTAAGTTTATATCATGACTCGAGTTTATATTCATTAAGTGAAGAACCAAACTCATTCAAAGTGCTCTCAAATCAGATAGCTTTTGTAAGGTTTGGCTTTTTTGGGGTCGTTTACGTGGTAAATCCCAATGATTTATTTAATTTATTTCAGTCTTAATTAAATCCTTATTCTTTGGTCAATTTAAACCAGTTGCATCAGTATAACTGGCTTCAGTCACTACAAGCACCTCTTGCATGCGTTCACGAGTCTTACTTGTTACGTGTAGCAGTTTCTTCTATTTCTCGTAATTTCAAAAATAGGACGAACAAGAAAAGAACTCAGTTCTCGTTTCCTAGTGTCTTTTCCATTTCATTCAATTGTCGATATATAAAGTTGCATTTTTCTTGTGCTGGTTTATCCATGCAAAATTTCCTAACAAAATTATGCTTTCAGGTGCAATCGAATTGATGAAACTCTAAAAGTAATCACCAGCTAAAGTGGGAGACGCGCTCTCTTGAATATTCATTTTCATGAGTTATCAAGAATTTTAAGATCAAATTATAGATGCCGGGGATGTCCACAGGCCGAAAATTTGTGTGAATACGAAAGTAACGGCGGGCCTCATGACTGCATACATTTAAGCAGTAAGCGAGAGGAATCTCCACACATCCGTTTGATTCTGTAGCTCTTCACGGAGTTCTTGAAGCCAGTTAACGAGTGGGGTCCGGCGCAGGATGAGCACCGTGCCGAGTTCATCTCAATGATACGCTCCAACGACTCTTTGCGGCACAACGTCGGCAGTAGCCAAGTGTGCATCAGCAGCACTCACATCCCGCCCGGTCTCGCAGACCCCGAGAACGGAGTTGCCGGTGGTGGGGACAGCAGCGGCCGACATCGGCGCATCCTCATTGGTAACAGCAGCGTGGTGCTGGACTCGGAGGGCGGCTTTTTTCAGAGCAAACTCAGCGTTGCGGAAAAGCTCACCATAGCGCATAATCGTGAGGTCGCGAAACGCTCTGGCGTCGATCTCAGCCATCTCGATGCCGAGGCTTTAACCGCTAGTCAAATGGTAAGCTTTTTCTCCTTCCTCTTCTACTCTACCTCCAGCTCCACCTTGTACCACTCTCATGTGGTAGTCCATCGGGTTTAAGTGCTGTTGATGGGATTTAAGCATGGCGCCAGTCATGGCATTGGCTCGCCTCAGGTCTCATTGTCACCCCACCTTCGTTTTAATATGTAATGTGGGTTTCATACGTCGAATGAACTTAACAACACCAATGTCACTAACTTTTGCTCCAGTTTGTACGATTAAACGAGCACATTTTTAGAAAACTACTAATTTGTATTTGGTTGAGAGAAAATGCTGGTTCCCTAAACCCTCATATTATTTACCCTACAGTACATGCTCATGGTTCATCAACAGTTTTGCTAGTCGTGATTTCTGCTCGTGGAATGCTATTTCTAGTATGCATTAGTGTATAGTCTATCCAAGCTTGGAAATGCTTGACCTATGACCTTGAGAGCAGTTGTAATCTTTCATCCCTGTCAAGGGAAACGGCAACACAAGTGGAATCACTCTTATTGTTAAGCAGTTGTTTTATTCACCTTGGATTTTCGGCTTCCAGTCTCATGGACACCACCACATCAGTGGTCGAATGTTGAGTGAAATAGCTAAGTAGCTACCGGCAAATATTACTTAGTACAAGATAGAGACTAGAGCAGAGCTTAACATCCTCTTGGTCCCTTTGTGCTCTAGGTCTAGCCCATCGTGTGTTGAATC